CAGATTTATGTGTATTTGAGATGATATGATGTCAGGCTCATGTAAAAGAGTCTTCTCTCTAGGCTGATCAAACATCGACAGAAAATCTTTTCCTGTCATTGGCAACTCGTTATGCAAATTAACACCTATCTACCAAAGCATTTACACTGGTAGAGCAGAGTGTAGGGTCTTTGTTTGATTCTACCTTCACATCTCAAAAGGTATCAGTTCAATGGGATAAAAAGCCGTCAGCAGTGTTACTGCCAAATATTTCTGCGATACAGAGCATAAGGGTTTATTGTTAAAGTTCAGGAGAGAGACTGAATTCTTTCAGGATCATCGATCTACAATCAAATTACATTCGTCTTAAAATCTCGGGAGCCACAGACGTCAAACGCCTCAAGTCAGACCAGTGCATTCGATAGGAAGCAGTTGCGAATATTCCTTTATCATAGTTACTTTGATATCAGTTTATTACATTTTTCTTACTTCTCTTATCGATGACACTTTTCTCCATTCTGGAATTCTGTATTCCACCTACTGATCTCAATTCATGTTACTCTCAATAGTTAATAATTTATGGTTAACTACCACATTGTAAATTCATTTGACCGTTTCGGTTCCATAATTTCTTGTTTCTATCCCAATCTCCTGATATCGTGTGGACATTTATCAGTTTTTGTGAAATTTTTCTGAAAATGCAACAAGAACTCTCTAAATACGTCCTCTGTGAAGAGACATTTTAACAAAACGTCAAGTTATTTTGAGGGACTGACCAAATAGTTTGAGTAAATTTCGTGTCTCATATCAATAGTTCCAGATCACAAATTTCACCAAAATCTGGAGACTGTGATATCTGACAGTCTAGAGTTTTCTGTGAAACAACATATTTCTTCACGACAATCATAATATATCGTGATGATATATATCGAAATACTGTTTTGCTCAATTCTTTGTTCTTGTTTACTTCAAGATAATAAAGGATACTACGTGAGTAATATGAACTTTGTAACAGATTCTGACGTCAGCGTCAAATACTTCGAATGATTCTCAAATTGTCACATTAGAATTAATTCAAGGATTGACAATAGAGAGCTCAGACAAGCACAAACACAGAAGCACAAACAAACGATCTGCCAATACAATCATTATATCAATAGTAACACTATGACTAGTGCCGTTTGCAAACCTTAATTTGTCAGGTTGATATGGTAATTCTGTCGTTCAAGGTGACATAAAAGATGTAGCAATAAGAATCATTTAATAAACAAACGATGTTATCTCAATTTAGCCAATGGACTCACTCATCATTTCCAAACGAGAATCATGCATGCGAATCATGAACGTTTCCACAAACGAATACAAACTGAGAGAACACTTGGACAAGAAAATCATGTGTTTGAAATGTACACTTACAATAGGAAATGTACTGTATTTCATGGGTTCTCTTAATGTTGAGAAGACGAAGAGCAAGCTATGTGATGAAAAGCGATTCACATCACACCACACCTGAACTACTCAGCAGTAATAATTAATATAATGGAGTTCACAGAAAGGTGAACGTGTGAGATAAGTGAAGTTGTAATTTCTGAATTAGAGATGAGATTCATTGCTGATCGTTGCCATTGAGTTCTAACATGTATGTAAAATTAATGGCCACTTGAATAACAGCATATACAAGCGAACAATATTGTTCTCAACTAGATCCTCATCAGGCTTACCCTAATATATTGTAATATTAATATTCAAATACGGAATGATAACACTGATCAAGTCAGTTGAGTCAATGATAACAGTGGAATGGATAATAAAAATATACATAGCAAATGGGAACCACAAATTAATAGAGTGATGAAAGGTGTAGTAGTTGTGATACGAATATTATGGGCTTGAATCCACGACTCATGATAGGAAGTTGGTGAGTGACTTGATAAATGTGCAAACTGAAATAACCATGATATTTAATAATCATTTGTGCTCAGGTAATTGGATGATGAAGTGCGTATTTCGAAAAAAGACGATGGGGCAAGGTCACAAGACGTAAGCGAGCACAGAGTATGAAAAATGATAATGGCAATAATTCTGCAAAAGAAGAGTTTTAGGATCTCTTGGAAGAACATTCAATTCTGCTGGGATTTGTTTTATCTCTTGTAGTCAGCCCATGATTCGAAGTTATATGAAAGATGTGTTCTTAGTTTTGGCCAAATCAATGTACATATTCCAATCTACATGCCCACTCGAAATTTTAAATCTCGAGTGCTTAAAATGTGCTCTTTCTTATTGCATCTGTGATGTTTCCTCCGTATGACTTTCCAGAGGATTACAGAAGACAGATTAAAGCTCAACTTTAAGCATCTGGTCACTTCTAATCATTTTACTCAAAATAATGTACACAGTTCGGTAATTCGAGGCCGTTATGGTTGCACATAAAGAGCGTATTTACAGAAGAGGTGATTGCTTTCCAGCAGATCAAACCTTAACTTTGCATACAGGACAATATGTTCAATCCCTAATTGCTCCTTGATCATAAACTCCATTACTTTCGTGATCTAACTTCTTTACATTACAATAGGATGGTTTAAATTTGAAAGATAGAACCCACCATGTCACGAATGGGAAGACAGAAAACAAGTGAAAAGAATGCTATTTCAAGAAGTGCTAACTGTGGTACAATACTGTCAGATATTTATAGTTTTATGTAAAAAACGAAATCATCGTTATAGTTCTCCAATCCGCATACAGGGGTTGTTGACATTTGTTCATTAGGAAAGATACACGTAGAGATTCTGGGACATTCTTTCAGTAAACGGTTGAATGTAAGGTCTTAGGCTCATTCTGAGTTTCTAAGAGCTTCCTCGAATTCACCTGTGGGTCGTTTAATCGAGGGAAAAGTGCAGAAATTATACTAAAGCAGAAGACTACATGATTTGTCATCATAATTGTTGCTCAACAATATTTACTATGTTCAGGTTTCACTTAACATAAATCACCATGCACGACGGTCTCTAATTACGTTTCATCGTCAATGCACGAACAGAATTTACGATTCGTTATCCTGATGATGATCCCCACAACCACAATGCACGTTTCACGATTGAAACACATTGTCTCAAAACCGGGAAACTCAATCACAGTAATCCATCAAGCCTATGAATCTTCATCTTGTGCCGCTTAAAGTAGACCACTTTGAATGACTTTCTAAGATGCTCGAAGAATCACAACTGTCAAAAAAATTGTGTTGAATGTCGTCATAGGTTGAACGTGATAGTGTTCAGTCTACAAATCTGCAACTCTATTCAGGTGAATCGAGTAGAACACGCAAATCATTGTCATCCTCAAATTCTTCTCAAGAAACACATTCACTCATTCAAGCATACACTAACGTAACACCATTTATTTCAAGTTACATTCCTCACTGCAAAACACAACACAATTTACATAATCCGTTGATCCCATACACATGACCATTATGAAGAATAGTGGTACGACCCGTCATATTCTGTTTCTGTCCTCATAAGGTTATATGAAGACGGACAATCGACTTGCGTGTGGACATGTTTGTATGCGCAGAATGAAGAACTCTTTGAAGCGTGAAGTGGCTTCAGTATTCATGCGAGATCCATGTGCACGTTCATGTATGTTTGATTGTCTTCTACAAAATATTCATTTTCAAAGCTCTTATCTAGTTGGTCATTTCGAGTTCATTCTCATAATCTGACCTTATTCATTGTAGTATAAATATGAATCGGTTCCGTATTCAGTGAACTGAGTAATTCTTATGAAATGTAAGTGTTGATTAGGAATTATATATTGACCTATACATATTATTTTGATCATGTTTCAATTCCAAGTGTGTTTTATTTTTGTTATGCATATTTCGACATGAATATTCTTATAGGAAATATCATTCAATGATGATATACATTGTAGAACACTGAATCTTTCTGGTGTGTGTATCTCAATTATTGTGCTTGTTTTACACTCATTCCTTATACTTCAGATGTGGATGTTTCAATGTGTTTTGGTGGACAGGGTTTCGCTTGTTATAATGGTGGCCATACAGTCGATTTGACTGGGAATGTGATGTCGGTGACGAAAGCTATCACATTCTATGCTGTCTCTCTAATTAGGAGAAGGCGATTCAGTTGTGTCTGTCGTTTTGCACAGTTTTGTCACTCGAGATGATTTGGAGTGAATCGTCTTGAATACAATCTGATTTGGCAAGAAGATTTGTTCCATGGAGACAGGCATGAACACTGCATGAGATACATTATAAAGCATATTCACATCAAGTGATATTCTTGTTCCACAGTCACTTCTTGGTTCCCACAATAATTCAACGAATTTAATTATCTAGATAAATGCTTGCAATAGTATTGATATCAGTGATCATAAAACTTATTGGATAATAATAAAAATGGTTTTGAATAGGATCGTGAATGTGTAATGTTGAGGAGTCTCATACTAGGCGGAACGGTCGTCCAATGCTTCCACGTTTGCAATGCTGATCTAGTTTAGATGGACTCGTGAATTCATCTGTTAGAATAAATTTGTGTTATGAAAATACAAATGCTCGGCATGAATGACGATGGGAAGGATAAGTTCACAGTTGGGGTTCTCTTGTTCCACTGAATTCAACGCTTTCATAGATGTTCTGAATTTCTCTGGGTTATATTCGCACTGAGTGCGACATACCGAATTTGTGAGTAGACAAAGAGTTCATACGTGTCTGATCGAATCATTTGTAGGAGTGCTTAATTGAGGTGTTGCAACTTCAACGAGAAATGAGATTATGATATGATGCGTGTTGAAAGAGCCGGCATATCGAAGGAAATTGTTTTGATGAAATTAATTTGTTGATTATGTTTCAATAAAATGATGTTTAATGTTATTGTACACCTCGATGAAATTACACTTCAGTCAATTAACGCTAAATAACTCATCATCTTTCCTGTTTAGCTGACATGTTTACAGTGTTAACGATAATTTCGGTAGCAGTCATTCTCACTCTGAACTGTGTGATGTGTCTGGACAATGGGTTGGCTAGAACACCACCAATGGGATGGAGCACAGTTTATGCACTCGGCTGTCGGGTGGATTGTCAGAGGTATTCAAACAACTGTCTTAATGAGGATGCAATCAAACGAACAGCTGATAAACTGGTATCGGATGGTTGGCGAGATTTGGGTTATAAATATGTGATACTTGATGATTGTTGGTTAGCAAAACAACGTGATCCGAATACAAATAGCCTTATGGCAGATCCTTCAAGATTTCCAAGTGTGAGTTGATCCATATCGATTAATATTAAATGTCCACAATTTTTGTATTCTGTTTCAACAATATGAACTTATATTAATCATAAATTAATCATTTTAACCAAACCACTGAGTTAATTTAAGGCTTTTTCATGAATGACTTCATAGTGTCATTTATAGCCTCACTAAACTTATCATGAAGGACATAGGTTTCTTAGTGTAAATCGATGTGTTGTAGTAGACCTGATTGGTTATGAATTAGTTTCCATTTGCTTTATTCTTTGTTAAATTTCATAGCGTTCTACTTTTATAGTTCGTATATATTTAAACTCCGAAAAAATATTTCGTTTCCAGGGTATTGAGTGCATTGCAAAATATCTGCACTCCAAAAACCTTCTACTCGGTGTAACTCTTAGTTACGGGGCCATGACATGTGCTCGTTATCCTGGAAGTATAAATCATTTAGAATTGGATGCAAAAACAGTGGCTGACTGGGGAGTGGATTATGTGAAGATGCTTGCCTGCCACTCTGCGGAGAATACTGCACCAGATGGTTTTGAGAAATTTCACAGATTACTCAACGCAACTGGCAGGACGGTAATGCTTATGTGTACTTATCCAGCATATAGCTATTGGCTTTCAAACTCTAATTTGATTGACTGGAAAAGATTACAAAATAATTGTAATTTGTGGCGAGTGTGGTCCAACGTGCAGAGCAAATGGAGTTCTATAATCGGTATTATTAATAGATATAAACTTCGCAACGATTTTTTTCCGAAAGTGGCTGGTCCCGGACATTACAATGATCCCGATGTGTTAGTCTTAGGATACAATGGACTTTCGAATGATCAAAAGCGAGCACATATGGGCATGTGGTGTATGTTTGCTGCTCCACTAGTGATCTCAGCTGACATGGACAAGTTGGATCCATTCAGTGCATCTCTGTTACGTAACAAACATTTGTTGGCGATAGATCAGGATAAAGGTGGACATCAGGCGGAATTCGTGAAAACACGAAATGATGTACAGGTGAGCTCATTGCATTAGTTAGGAATTCATCATATAGTCGAATACATAATATGTCTCACTGTGTTGGTAGAATGACATAACCGTATAATGAAGCTCTTATATTTTAAATATAATAATATGTAAGGATGGAGACGATCATTATGGATGAAATATTCAATCTCAGTTTCATAGTTTTGATAGTGTGCATTCTAGCTGTTCTAGCTGTCAAGCTTAGTCACTAAATTCTAACGGAAGTTTACATTGACCATTGCTTCGATTCAATAACATGTATTACCACAAATCAAGTGAAGAGTCAGCATTTATATACACTAACCATAAATATTTATTAAGTTAGTCGACCGACATGATCATTGTTTTGTTAATATACCCAATCACTACCAGTGCAGCTGCACCTATGTAGCTGTCATGTATAGCAACCAACTACATTTTTTTCATTACTTGTTCTTCAACTAGGTCACGACATGTCGTTAACATCTTTTTTATTTATCAGTGTACTGAATATTAACAGACGTTTATCATCTATTCATATATTTCTTTTCATACAGTTGTGGATACGAAAATTAGATAATTGTCCAATTGGTTGGGCAATCGCTTGCATTTACACAAAGGTTGATGGAGGACCAATCGACTTTAGCACGAATCTGGATGAATTCAAATCACAGATGTATACAATATCAGGAGATAAGTTTAAATTACTGGATGTATTCACGGGTGATAGATTCAAAGACGTGAAATTGACAGAGAACTTTACGATTTCGATCAATCCATCTGGAATAATGATGTTTCGAATCATTCCGTTTCATTTGATTACCAGTTTTCAGTAAATTGGTGATAGTTTTTACCAATTGTTTGAAGCGCATTTCGATGATTTGTTGATTGTCAGATTGATAAGTAACTAGTTTCCGGTTAATGGGTTCACAATTCATCAACACACTTAATTTGCTCAATTAATGTGAAATTTATTTTACGCGGAAAAGAAATGATTGTAATTCGCCTTTTTTCTTTCAATGTTCTTTTTAGACTATAAACTCGTATCTTAACATGTATCTATTTCTCTATTAGTGAATGAATGATCAACAATAGACACCTTAATCGTCTATTGAAATTGTGTTTTGTCTTAAATAGAAGAATATTTACGATAGATCAGATGTGTATCTGCGTGGTAGCATCACACAATCTGTTTCTTGACTTGTGATCGAATCTGTCACAGAACATCAGTTCCCTCAAGATTACAAGTATATGTGATAAACAGGAGTACTTGAATTATAGTAAAAACTAAAAATCCCAGATATAGCGCAAGTGCAGCAAGAAGTATTAGATAAGCACGAACGAATGCACTGTATTTGGAATTCAAAATCAAGCATTCGACAATTACAAAGAAATCGTCAGTTCATATAAACATCACATCCACCATAGCTTAAATGAGAATTCGAATTTCTGCAATAAACTGTACCTCTTCTTCGTAGGTTCGTCGTGTCTGCCCGACCATGTATTGGATGCAGACTGTATGATCTAGAATATGCTCATTAGTATTAGAATTAGCAATCAAAGTCGGAACAAACTCACCTAGGTCCCGAGATTGTATACAATAACGATATCGGTTGTGTACCGAAACCACTAATATCTAGAATTTGAACCACAGATTTTCCAACACTATCCTCCCATATGAAATAATGTTGGATCATTATATCCTCAAGTTGTGAATGATGTGGCTTCATTTAGTAGATATTTCTCAGATTGGTTATAGTAAACATTAGAAGTAACTTTGTGACAAGGATAAACAGCAGTTGATATGAAATCATGTGAATTGTAATCAAAATCGAGATCATTTAGTACTCGTGCTTCGCATTGAGCAAGTTTCCCACAAGAAACAAATGCATTATGAGAACTAATCATATTTAATATGACATTAGGATTTGATTCTTTTGAAATAGTTTCTTCGAATTTATTCAAAATATCCCTGCACAATAAAGAATCATTAGAAAAAGCAGGACCTACCAAAACTACAACAGATTTTTGAGCATGGCTAGGTTCAGATTTGCAAAGAATTTAATCAGAAATATGGTAGTTGTTAGTACAAACCATATTTGGTACACTAACATGGGGAATCTGATAAGTTGATTAACTAGAACTTGTTTTCTCACAAGGATTTTTGAGTTTTGTTTAAATCTGGTCCGCTATGTGACTCCATGGCGATGTTCGAAATAGTAGATAAAGATAAATGATAATCAGAAACACCCAAATTAATAGGATCAGTATTACAGATTTTAACATCAGTTGCAGCGGAACGAACCGTGGTATGACAAAGTGATTGAATTTATTCATATTTAAAGCATTGAGAATTACGAAATACAAACGAATTTAGCAAGTGAAACCTTGCAGAGGACAAACATTGACCAAACATGTGCCCATCTTCGTGGACTGCATAGGAGTTCAACAGTGAATTATCTGCGTAACCTTGAGTACGCACTGGATTCGGGGGACGTAGTAATGTGATAGAATTTTTGATGTCCTAGTATAACATTTTACCAAAACTTTATTTACTGCATTCGAAATCTGTATATTTAACATAATCTAGCAGTGGTTCTTTGAGAGTTGCATAAGTAGGCGAAATGGGCTTTTCTGGTAAATCCAGAGTTTCTTTCCGATGAATCTAAGGGAACGCACCACAATAATAACGTCCTCAGCATCTTCCTTGATCATAGCCAAGATTTTGAACCTTTCAAATTAATCCTTGAAAGCATCAAAATCACAGACTACATCGCGACGCCATTCCGATAATAAGAAGTATTCGAATTATAATACGAACTAATAATCCCAGAAATAACGCAACTGAATTAAGAAGTACTGGATAAACACAAACGAATGTACCGTATTTGGAACTCGAACCCAAGCATTCAGCAAGTACAAAAGATTCTTCAGTACATATAAACACCACAGTACACATTGCTGACGAGTGTAAAATAGCACGACACCTAGGACGTAACGAGTAAATAAACGGTACATAATAATAATGTCAATATTATAAAATTAAAATTACTTATTATGATTCTAATTAATTGACGTATATAGTGACGTTTTATACGATAGGCATAGACCATAAGGTTTATAGTTTATGTTTTGTACGAAAATACATCAAGCCACAGTGTTATATGTACAAAGTGTTCACTTATTCGTCGAGATAAAAATGCTTAATGGCTGATAAATAACATATTGATTGATATTTGTTCGATAAACTTGACACGCCTTCTGATGGAGTTTAGCTGTCTGAGCTCGATAGTTTGGTCCAGGATTTTCCGACGTTCTTCTGAACGACATAATCGGTACAACCTTAAGGTAGAAGTAAAGCGTTGGAATTTATCCATCTCATAGAACAAAACTTCATCAAAATCATTCACCTGAGCTACAAATATTTTCCACTGTCTTACTACGTTTTCTCCCCTCCAAATGATTCAGCGACATATTTTCGGCTCATTGTTGTCAGCATAAAGCCAAAATTGAAATCACTGAGTGGGAGACTAGTTAAAATAAATAAACATAAATTTGATTCTTTGTCAATAAGGATTCGGAACGCTTATCGTAAGTTAGAATCGGTTGTTGTACACTCATTTTATTGAATTTATTACGCGAGACTTTCATGAACTAATTCACAACCAATCACCTTCTTAAAAGAATCATTTCGAGTCTCTTCGATGGATACTTGCCGATATGATGATCACTAGCAAACGACATACATGGACAACCATGTTTCATCGGAATCAACCCGTTTTGAATACAATGTACAAATAACTAATTCCCGAAAGATGAAATTCACACTAATCCTACACAATCTACTACATCGTAAGCAATAAAACATACCAAGTCCTATTCTTTGAACTTTCATGAACTTCCTAGTTTGTAAGGAATCAGAATAATTATACAAACGTGTAGATTGATTGCTATTTCACCATGTTTTCATTATTTCACACAATACAACTGTAAAACAAACTCCTCAAAAATTTGAATTTGCATACTACAAAAATGTTATGTAAGAACCACAACATGTAGACTACGTGCCAGTTAACCGATAAGATCTCCCGTAAGCCAAATATCAGAAGGCAGTTGATGGCTGTAGTTGAGGTGGATTTGTTGGCGATCTCGTGGTATCGAAAGAATATCGAGGTCGTGCCAAATGAACGCCGCCTGGAGTCCCTCCGGGGGCTACTGCCGGTCCCAAGCCCGGATAAAGGAGGAGGGTTGGGCATGGGGTCAGCGTCCCCATCCCGTAGAAAACTAACTCGCTAAAAAAACGCTAACCAGAAAAAATTATTCAAACCTTTTAAACTCTTCCCTGGGAGTCAGAAGACCTTCATTTAGAAGAATTATGACGCCTCATGATGAAAGCCGAAACCCTTCGGAAGTTACGAGGCCGATGCCCCTTCTGACAACCAGAGCGAACATTTATTTAGGTACATGGAATGTTCGTACAATGTGGGACACCGCAAGAGCCTTCCAAATTGCTGCAGAAATGAGAAGATACAACCTGGAGGTACTTGGGATCAGTGAAACACATTGGACACAAGTTGGACAACAACGACTAACTACAGGAGAGCTCCTGTTATACTCCGGCCATGAAGAAGAAAATGCCCCACATACACGAGGAGTTGCACTGATGCTGTCCAAACAAGCACAAAATGCACTAATAGTATGCGAATCTCATGGACCAAGGATCATCAAAGCCTCGTTCAAAACAAAGAAAGAGGGCACTACAATGAACGTCACCCAATGCTTTGCGCCTAATAACGACTACAATGAGGACGTTAAAGATCATTTCGACGATAGGCTGCAGTCAATCGTCGAGAAGTGCCCAACAAAGGACCTGACCATTCTGATGGGAGATTTCAACGCCAAGGTTGGAACGGACAACACTGGATATGAAGACATCATGGGACGATACGGACTGGGAGAAAGAAACGAAAATGGTGAGAGATTTGCAAATCTATGTGCCTTCAATAAGCTGGTCATTGGCGGCACCATAT